CTGCTGAATTGAAGGTCCTGTAGTATCAGTAGCACTGCTCAGAAATACTCTAGTCTGAGCTTTATCAGGTAATGGGAAGAGACATTGATATTTGGCATACATCATTTACTTTTCATTAGAGATGATCACCTGGTTTCTTTAGAGCTCTTGAAAATCCCAGATACTAATTTTGCACTCTCATAGCCAACATCAGTGTTAAGGAATTCTTCTACTAAGAAAACCCTGAATTAATTCCTCAGAATTCAGAACTGGTGGTTAATGTCAGGCTCGGTCAATGTTAATAAATAGACACATAATACATGCGGGCAGAATGACATTCTCAGTGCACTTTGGTTTTCTTTTATGGCAAAAGGAAGTCTATATCTCATCAGCTGAACTCTTCTCTGATTTTCATGGCAGGTTCCAGAAGAGAAGAAACCACATGAAATTCACTCCAACAACTATGATGAGCAGAGCAGAGCTGAAGCCACCATGTAGAAAAAAAAAAAAACAAACCTGTAATATTTGTCCTAATGATGTTCTTTTCAGTTTCTAATACTAAAAAACAATATCTAAGTATTGTCTTAACCACACTAGGTTTTCAAGAAGGGGCTGTAGATAACTATATTTTTGTAATATATATAAAACAAGCTTGATTTTAGAATACATAGTGATTATGCCAAGCTAAGGTGAATTAATTAGTTCCTTCCAATATATTTGTTCATCAGAAAAACCCATCACAAACTGCTCTACAAAATTATCTGTATTTTGCTTTTTGCAGTCACTGAGTCATTATAGCCATTGAAACAACTTTTTTGTTTCAAGCCTATTACAGAATACCATATTTAACTACAAAATTTCTGAGTTACAGTCACGTCCTTCAACTGTGTAGGCGTAATCAAGAAAAAACAGATTGATATTGTTTATTTGGATTCTAACAAACTTTTCACCAGGGCATCCCAGATTAAATTTTTAAGATAGTGTGTTGTCCTATTTTTGGATGGGGGAGAAAATGTGTTGTATTTTGAAGACTGGTTATGACAGGAAACAAAATGTTGAAATCATTTTCATGACAAAGCACAGAATATAGTGATTGATGAGGTATACTAAGTGGCAATATGAGTATCAAGATTCTTTGTTAATACCTTTATTGAAAGAGAGAAGAAAGTGAAATGGTGAAAACTTTCATTATTGGCATAGATTTATCTAGGCTGTTTCAAGGACACAGTAAGGGATTTGAGTATGAAAACCAGATAATTACATAATATGTCTTATTACGTCCAACAGTAATAAGTGGATAGTAGCACTAAATGCTAGCTCCAAGAAAAAGCATCCGTTGTTAGGAACTGATTGGAAAGCAACTATGTTCAACCTACAGAAGACTCAGTGGAGAACTGTGTGGTGAGTCACTGCCTTTGAAGTCACTGCCTCCTTAAACAAGAGAAAGTGGAAAGAAAATTGAAGCTAAAGTAAGGTAAATTAACTCCACCTGAGAAGTGACAATAATGGCTGCTCAATTAAGAAAGACAAAACCTGAGGTATCTGAAAGGACTCTGTAAGATGACAGTAGCTGGGAGCAGAGTCACACATCTGTGCTTACCTACATGGGGAAATCCATTGAGAGGCAATGGATGGGAGACGAAATTCTAACGGATCACAGTGCCTCTAGGCATTATTCAGACACAGAAAGCTACCAGTGATGTCTCAGAAGGACAAGCTGCAGTGGATGAACTTTCAAGACTTTTTATATTAGCATCTTATTTCAAGTCTTATTTATCAGATTTAAAGGGAAAACTCCTCTCATACAAAATAGCACAGATATTTTCAGTTCTGCTGATGTATTTTTCCTTGAAAAACTTTAGAAAGATACTAGGCAGGGCTGTCCCATATGTTATATTTGCTGTATATTGTTATATATCTCAGATTTCTATCTATGAATGAAAACTCATTTGTTGTAACACACTTTAGTTCAGATAGGCTCTTTTGCAGATGTGCAACGATTGACTCTTTTCTACCTTGTTGGCTAGAATACATCTTTTATCCTTTCAAAACCTTCACACAATCATTTTTGTAAAACCTGAGAAGGCATTTAACAATGTAAATATGGCATACGTAAAGATTTTAGAAGTATTTTGTGCATAATTTACAAAAAATATTGAAGTCCTTGAAGAAGATTCAATATGTAGACAGACTGTAAAAATCTTATCCTCAGTACATGAAGCTCACCCCTCAAAATCCTACTTGGGGATTCAGAGGGTCTTTCATTCACCTACAGCAGTGAGGTAATTCCACTGATTGTGAGTGTTGACCGCAAAGGAATACCTGAGTGAGAAAGTACCGCTTACTGTGAGTAAATCTTTCAGAATTATGTCCTCAATAGTTATCTTTAGTTCTTCAAAATAAAAGGGAAAATAAACTGTGAAGTTTTGTTCTCCAGTTCTCCTTATAGTCTTTCAACAGTAACACAGACCCTCATCCACTAAGTACTCATTATTGTCCTCTGCCTTTTTTTTTACAAGATTACTGCCCCAGACAGATCAGTCCTTCAGGTTCTCTCAAAAAACAGAGTAGGGAGATGGATCCCTTTACATGGAGATTTATCCCACCTAACCTAGCTATCATTTTCAGGAAATTGTTTCCTTTTTGACAAAGAAGGACCCTAGAAGTAGGACCTGTAGTGATGGACAAGGGGCCTGTAGCAATAGGACAAGGGGTAATGGTTTTAAACTGAGAAAGGGTAGATTCAGACTAGATATGAGGAAGAAATTTTTTACAATGAGGGTGGCGAAACACTGGAATGGGTTGCCCAGAGAGGTGGTAGATGCCCCATCCCCGGAAACATTCAAGGTCAGGTTGGACAGGGCTCTGAGCAGCCTGATCTAGTTGAAGATATCCCTGCTCATTGCAGTGGGATTGGACTAGATGACCTTTAAACACCCCTTCCAACCCAAACCATTCTATGATTCTATGATTCTAAGTCTAGCTTAGCCTGGGAAACTATATTTTAGATGGCTGAAACCATGTGAGGAGTATATGACTTTAACAACTGGAAGAGGGATTAAAAATGCATCTGTGAAAAACACTTTGATAGGTCCATTCTGATGTTCACATACTTAAAAACTAGAAAAAAATACAGAAAAAAGCATTAGGAGAATTAAAAATGTAAAAAGCATGTGTTGTAAAAACATCAAACGAGAAAGAGGACCAAAAATGACCTCTTGAACAATGTGGTGTAGCCAGATGACTCATGTGAAGCTAAATGAACAGGATATGAGAAACTGCAAACCATTACAAGAGAAAATTGCTGGATGTGACAGGAAACAATGTAACACTCTGATAAGAATTACAGATAACACCATGAAAAGTAAAAAGTGAGTTATATGAGAAATGGCCTAATAGCACAGTTAATTGTAGGGGAGAATTGGGGACCTTCTGGGGAGCATAACCTTGAAAGGCCAGCAGTGCCCCTGTAAGCATAGCTGAAATACCAACCTCAGGTACAGGTGTAGCAAGCCTGAGACCAACAAAAATTTAATTAGTATTGGGCAAAGATGGGGAAGGCAAAGAAATAGGAAAAGGGACAACGAGGCATGCAAAAAAATCTGCAATGAGGGCTGTCTGGGCTATCTGTCAGGCAGTCCTCAGATAGATCACTGCAGCAAGACAATAGAGCAATAGATCTGTGATAGATCACAGAGCGAGACAAAAAATCAAATCTCTTGTTTTGATCATCCATGCATGTTTGATTTTCTCCTGTGGTCTCCACCCTGATACGGTGGAGAGCTGCTGATCAGGCACAACCCAAAATTCATTCATTCCCTCTGGTCAGAAGCCTTAGACAAGAGCTTGAACTCAACATGGATGAATCCAGGCCTTATGGTTTGATCACCCTGTATGAAAAGATTGCACATGGAATTTTCCCAGCATATTTCAGACTGCTCTTCACCCCAAATAGACTCTCTCTCTGCAACAGATGGTGCACAAAGATGTCCATGGTGGTGTCATCAGGAAATGAAATACAGCAGTTGCTGGTTTTCTAGATAACCTTTGTTTAATCAGAGCTTTAAGCATTACTTTCTTTTCAAAGTGACTGTGCCCTTGAAGTGTATGATTGGTTTCTCCTAAGGTTCTTTACCCTAATCACTCACCTCCATACTTCAGCTGTCAGTGGTATATGGTTCTCTGTCTTAGGGTATTTTCTTTGGCTGGTTATTTCCAAATTAATCAAAGTTGTGAATACCCAGAATCAGCAGAGCTTCTTTTGTACATAGTTGCAACTTCTGTGTAATATGTTACTGGACACTATGGAGAGGTGTTGAGCCTTACAGAAGCTTAAAATGTTTTGCTAAGTACCCTTTTGCTCATCAGTGAGGGAGCCATACACTGGCAGGAAGGGAAGGCAAGGAGTTAAATGAGACACAAAGTGGAGGATGAGCTTCGAAGATGGGGCTGAAAAGTAAACCAAAGTTAAAGTACAACTACTCTACATTTTTTGTCTCTTTGACAGGACAAGGAACAATGGATCTAAACTAAAGAAGAATAGATTTAGACTAGACATAAGAAAGAAATTTTTTACAGTGAGGGTAGTGAAGCACTGGAACGGGTTGCCCAGAGAGGCAGTGGAGGCCCCATCCCTGGCCACATCCCAGGCCAGGTTGGACGGGGCTCTGAGCACCCTGCTCTGGTTGAAGCTGTCCCTGCTCACTGCAGGGGGGTTGGGCTAGATGACCTCTAAAGGCCCCTTCCAACCCAAACCATTCTATGATTCTATGATTCTACATCTGAGGTTCACAATGACTCGCATTCCTTTTCTTTCTCATGAAAGACTGCCGATGTTTTATGCTCTCCAATAACCACTGTTCTGTCTTACCTTTGTTCTCACCTTGATTTGGTTTTAGGTAACAAAGCTTAAATAAGTTTTATTTTTTTAAAAGTGAGTAAAAACTCATTCAGTATGGACATTTATTAAGCTGTGCATAAAAAATATCTGAAAAAGATGAGTTAAATGGCAGTAACTGTGTGTAACTTTCAACTTGAAAGTAGATTCCACCATCAGGATGCTGGAAGCTTGCTCTTAGATTTCTGTCATTCTCAGAAGAAACCTTAGGACACTGTTCATATTTTTCAAATTAGTAGCATTTTGGAGGTTAGGTCAGCCATCCTTTAAAAGATATTTTCTGTATCCAGTCCTAATCAGAAAACATATCTTTTTCTCTGTAAGGGTCAAACTGACAGAAGCCACTGGGATTGGTGGTTTTCTAAGTGAAAACTTCAAATTTAATGTTTCTAATACAGTGTATCTCTTTTTTATTTTTTTTTTTTTAAGAGATTAAATACAGATAGATTAAAGTGTAATGAAATGAAACAAAGGAGTTGGACTTAAAGAAATAAAAAGTTTTCTCTTCTTATTATTTCCTCTTATTAGCAATTATTTCTTATTTAAATTAACCAAAGGTCAAGCTTATTGACACATAGCCCTTTTCCAAAACACCAGTAGA